AGCACTATATACTATTTAGTACGTATACTATATACGTACTAAATCACATACGTATACGCTTTCTGGTCAGGTCAAAGTGGTGCTACACGGCTATACATACGACGATGCCGCGGCCGAAGCCAAACGGTTGGAGAAAGAGGAGAGTCGTGTGTTCATTCATCCCTTCGACGATCCCTATGTCATTGCGGGCCAAGGCACCATAGGTAGGTAGATGTATCGTAGGTAGTCGGATGGGTGCATGCACGCAGGTGCATATCACCACAGAACTCATTGCAATGTATTGTAGGTAGTCGAATGGGTGCATGCACACAGGCGCATATCACCACAGAACTCATTGCAATGTATCATAGGTAGGTAGATGTATCATAGGTGGGCGGATGGGTGTATGCACACAGGTGCATATCACCACAGAACTCATTGCAATGTATCATATGTAGGTAGACGTATCATAGGTAGGCGGATGAGTGCATGCACACAGGTGCATATCGCTACAGAACTCATTGCAATGTATTATAGGTAGGTATATGTATCATAGGTAGGTAGATGAGTGCTTGTGCTGTGTGACTATTTATGTGTTGGGCTGCAAACATGCCCCATCACAATCACATTGGTGCAGGTGGTGGCAGATATGAGATGTGTATGTATGTATACTTGTCATTTACTGTAGGCTGGTACATGTATGTGTATATGTATATATATACAGTATCCATCTCTTATTCACGTGTATCGGGTCAGCAACAGAGTATATATCTCACATATACACGCATATATGTATATGTCACATACATGTATGTCATTTAAACAATATATCAACACATCACCAATACACCACATATGCACACAGGGTTAGAGATCATCAAACAGACCACCGCGAAGCCTCCTGATGCCATCTTCTGCTGTGTGGGTGGGGGTGGCCTTCTCAGCGTATGTGTCCGAGTTTGCATGTATAAGTCAATATGGCACCAATGTATGTATGTAGGTAAGTATGAAAAAAGTATTTATGTTTGTAGGTATGTATGAATATATGTATTTCTGTATGTAGGTATATATGAATATATATATATATGTATGTAGGTATGTATGAATACATGTATGTATGTTTGTAGGCATGTTTGAAATATGTATGTAGGTATGTATGTATCAATATATGTGTGTATACATGTAAATTTGTATCCCATCCGTTGTTTTCCAGCGGATTGTACGAGAATACAGCTGGAATGTTCATGTATATGACAATATGGCACCAATGTATGTATGTATGTATATATGTATATATGTACACATGTATCCTATCCGTGTTTTTTCTGCGGCACCGTCAATGAGATGTATGAGATTGTACCTAGAGTAAGCACATGTGTATGGATATGGCTCATAGTAGACTGCGACTACGCGTCTTCGAGTAGAAATATGGGTACCATAGACTGACATGCGTTGCTGTCATACTAGTAAGCGGTCATAAACATTATATATATATATATATATATGAGATGAGTTTTGCGTAGTCTTACAGAGGCACACTGTAGTCGCAGTGGTACAAGAACGCCGTCACACACACGAACCACTGACTGGTTCTGGTCTGTAGATGAAGTAGACTCTGCAGATGCACCTCCACAGTAGCACACACTGTGAGCGTGGCGTTGACTCGTTTTATTGCTCATGCCATACGCACAGGGAATCGCTGAAGTGATCAAAACAGTCAATCCAAACATTAAAGTGTTTGGCGTGGAGGCAGAGGATTCCGCCGCCATGACCCTCTCGTTGGATAAGGGTATGGTGCAACATATACTGATAAAGTATTTTATATATGAATATGTATATATATATATGTGTGTGTGTTTATGTTTTCAGGGGCGTATGTATTAAGTGTATATGATCGTAATCAACCACATATCGGTGGTATAGTGTCCTATTTCTGCTTAGCAATTGGATGTACTCACCCTTTATGTTGAGCATCGAAGTACGTCCCTACGGAACCCCGAAGGGACCCTCCACCATCTCTCGGGATGTCCATCCCTACGGATCTCCGATAGTTATGGCCTCCAGGTGTATCTGTCTAAAAAGATAAGGAGTGAAGGTGTCTAGGGGCTGGTTGAGTCTAGTCTCCTAACTAATGTCAACACCAAGGGAACGTATTCCTTCGGAGTGCGTGTTAGTCGATTCGGTTCCTTTATGGGGTCGGTGAACAGAGTTGTCAGCTGTTCACAACTTCTTTTAAATACCTGCCCATACAACGTAAAGTGAACATCATCCTAGTATGCGTTCTTGATTTGGGTCACTTCATAGATTTTAGCAGCACCATCGTCAGACGTTACCAACTATAAGTGTTTATTTATGAACGCATATACCGAACTTCTCATAGTACGCGTTGTTTAGTTGGGTTTCCTTCTTCAGATCGGCGAGAAAAATCGTCAACCGCTATCAACTGTAAACGTTTCTGCCTATACGCAATTACACCACATCTCATAGTACGCGTTGTTTGGGTTGGTTTCCTTATTTAGGTCGGCGGGAAGAGTTGTCAGACGTTGGCATATTCGCCGATGGAGCGGCGGTGAAGCTAGTGGGAGAGAACACATTCCGCATATGTGATGAGTTAGTCGATGGTATGTTTGACCCGGTTGCAAGTGGTGCATACACCATGTTGGTGTATCTGCAATATATATATATATATATATATATATATATATATATATATATATACTGTGTGTGTATGTAGGAGTATGTAAGTGTATGCATGTGTATGTATGTATATGTAGGTGTATGCATGTGTATGTATGCACATGTAAGTGTATGCATGTCTATGTATACGTGAGAAAACCTTCCTACATGATGAGTTGGTCAATGGTGTATATGGGCTGGTATCATTCTTAGGCCATATGTATTGAGTTAGTCGATGGTGTACTTGAGCTGGTTGCAAGTGGTGCATACACCATGTGAATGTTGTGTGGGTGGGTGGGTGTATTCCCATTCCCATGTATCATGTGTGTGTGTGTGTCTCAAAGATATTTGTATACATTATGTATATCTATGTCTAGGTCTATATATAGGTGAAAACACCTTATATGATAAGCTGGCTATTGGTGCATATGGGCTAGTACCGTTCTTTGGACACATGTGAGATGATATGTACATGCATATATGATGCATGTATGTGTGTAGGCGGCAACAACTTCCGAAAATGTGACGAGTTGGTCGATGGCGTGTATGACCTGGTACAATGGTTAAACAAACATATGGATGGACAGTACTACACATACATATTATTATTATTATATATATATATATATATATATATATATATATGACAATTCGTGCGTGTAATTATACGTATATACCTGTCCTTTTACGTATTCATATACGTATCCATCCATACTCAATACGAATACTTGTATACTCGTGTAGGTATGATCACCGTGTCGACAGATGAGATCTGTGCCGCAATCAAAGATGGCTTCAATGAAACGCGCACGGTCATGGAGCCAGCGGGGGCATTGGGTATTGCAGGTGTCAAGAAGTTCATCCAGTCTACAGGTGTTGAGGGTATGTGTGTATGATGTATGTGTGTATGTGTGCATCTTGTTTGCTCTGATATTTAGACTAGTGAGCTCATCCAGTCTGTGAGGGTGAGTTTTCAGTGCGTGACCGACTGTAGGACTGTATGTACACATGCGCGCATGCATATCGGCAAGTATGTGAATGTATATATACACATGCGTACAATAACGTAACCTCTGAAAGGAAATTTGGTTTATTTGTAGCAGAGCCTTTTATCCGGGTAAGTGTGGGAGATCAGGTGCATATGCGCCGTTCGTATCTCTCGCGTATGTATTGTGCATAAAAACCCTAAACCCTAAAAAGTCCTATGCGTTTGGTGTATTGGCACGCGAGGGTATAGCAAGAAATTATTAATCCCTAAATCCCTAAAACCTTAAACCTCAGGCACAATCCATAGGCAACTCCAAAGTTTTGTATGTGTTTGTAACTGCACATGACAGTCTACAGAATGCATGCAAACGTTTACGTTCACTTGTCCGTGTTTACGCGTACATTGAAGTAGAATTGTGAGATGGAAACACTTTGATTTGGTTTCGCGCAAAGGCAATCAAGCATCGCCTTTGGCTCGAAATTATGTTATGCTATATCCGTTTTGCGCCAACACACAAACACAATACAGATAAATACGCCAAAATTAAATGGGGCCCAAAATCACCAGGAACCGATTTGTGGTTGGCTCCAAGTTACAGACCTGATTTTTTTAATGCGCCAAAAAAGTTAAATCCCGAATGTGAGGGAAAATTTGTGGTTGGCTTCAATTCACTTTCCTGATTTTTAACAAATGCACCGAAAAAATTGGATCCCGATCTGTAGGAAAGGATTTTGTCGTCGTGTGTAGCGGATCCAATACTAATTTCGACCGCCTGCGCTTTGTGGCCGAACGCGCTATTGAGAATGAAACACTTTTGTGTGTACGCATCCCCGAACAAATTGGCAGTTTCCAGACGTATGTGCACGTGTGTGTGTGTATATATCCATCTGTATGTGGGTGTATTCATGTGTGTGTGTGTGTGCATTTGTGGGTGTATATATGCATTTATGTGTGTATATATTCTTTTATGTGAGTATATATACTCATTTGTATGTGTCTTTATTCAATTGTGTGTGTGTATATAGTCATTTGTGAGTGTGTGTGCTCATTTTTGTGTGTATATTCATTTGTGTGTATGTGTGTGTGCTCATTTGTGTGTATGTGAGTGTGCTCATTTATGTATATATGTATATATATATATATGGTCATGTTTCAATTGAGTATTTTTTGTTCTTAGCTCTTACCGTTCATAAACAGTAGTATGGTCATATTTCGTACCTGTTGAGCTGCATTGCTCTGATTTGACAGTTTCCTTATGCATGATTATTGCGCATGTTTATATCTTACTAATAGTTTCATTGTCCATGGTTACCAGGGTTGCCACACCTGTTTGTATCGTTCTACCAATTTCCATTTCCATGGCTACCACACCCTGTTTGTAATTTACTACCAGTTTCCTTGTTCGTGGTTACCATGATTACCACACCCTGTTTGTATGTTACAAACCTTTCCCTTGCCGATGGTTACCATGGCTATCACACCTGTTAGTACCTTACTAACAGTTCCCTTGTCCATGGTTACCATGGTTACCACGCAGCCTGTGTGAGAGTATCGTCCCGCGCAATATCACCGAGTTTTCGTATCGGTTTAACGATCCCGCTGAGGCCTTCATCATGATGAGTTTCCAGAGCCAAGGCCCAGAAGACGCCAAGCAGGTGCTGAAGGGTATGTTGTTACCTACTACATAGACACAATACATTAACAAGTGTCTATATACCTACTACACCCAGTATACACAATACATCTATATACCTACTACACTCAATATACACATTACATTAACAGGTGTCTATATACCTACTACATATACACAATACATTAACAAGTGTCTTTATACCTACTATATATACACTAAGCAAATGTCTATATACTACTACAAATTTACAATACATTAACAAGTGTCTCAATACCTACTATACCCAATATACACAATACATTAAGTGTCTATATACCTACAACATATACACTTAACAAGTGTCTATATACCTACTACATATACACTAAGCAAGTGTCTATATACTACTACATATATACAATACATTAATATGTGTCTCAATACCTACTACACCCAATAAAAACAATACATTAAATGTCTATATACCTACAACATATATACTTAACAAGTCTCTATATACTGCTACATATACACAATACATTAACAAGTGTCTATATACCTACTACACCCAGCCAATGTGTTCATGCATGGTATATTAACAAATGTGTATATCCATACTACTGTAACACGTGTCCGTGAACATAGCGCACCAACAATTCAGTACAAAAGCGAGTGTGTGTATAAATGGAAAGGAGAAGTTGTGTATGTCGTGTATGTGTGTGCTGTGCGTTCTATATCTATGTATAGTCACATCATCGTGTGTGCTGGGTGTTGTATATCAATGTATAATCACGTCATCGTGTGTGCTGGGTGTTGTATATCTATGTATAATTTGGTTTAGGTGCACACACCACCATACATCCACACAGACATATCTGACTACACACGTGTATGTGCATAGACATGCACGTGCACATGAACATACATACATACATACATACATATATATATATATATATATAGTACATGCACACAACTTAACGTATGCATATTCCCATGTAGCGGCTGTTGCTTGGCACAGTAGCTATAACTAATCCTCACACCCCACTCTACACATCCAATTGGTGTGTGTGTGTGTGTGTGTTGGTTCTGAGATGCCTCCTACTGCACAGCAATTCCTTTGTTTAGTTGTAGCGTGTTCACTCGCTTCACTTCCTGTCTCAGATCTGCGCGTAAATGGCATGGAGGGCCGTGATTTGACTAACGACGAAACCTCTAAGTTGCATTTCCGGTATGTCCCGCTTTGTGTATACGCGCACGTGGGAACTCACTGTGTGTGTGCGAGTGTGTGTGATTTCTAGCGATGTATATACATACGAATGTCAGTATATGAATACGTATCCTCGTGTCTGTAGTGTGTGGGTTTGCGTATATGTGTACGTGTGTGTAATTTCTATACCGATAGATGGCCATACTACCTATACCCACCCACCACCTGCGAGAGAATTGAAACCAGTTCTGTGGCCGAAAAGGCCCTTATTAAGACCCCCAAATAGGCGACTGTATGTTTGGTTTCATGCTAGAAGCACCCTTCACATATGAGCTTGTTTTGACCCATTATTATCCCGGACTTTATTGCGGTCCGATAGTCTATGAATCTGCTTATATCACTTGCACACCCATTTGGGTGGGTCATTTTAATACTGATGGTATTGCCAACATATTGTAAGTGTGTGTTTGCATGTGGCACTTGTTGAAAGAAATGGAAGAGTTTTAGGATAGCAATGACAGGGGTGGAGTGTATGAGGTATTTAGTGAACATTCATCTGCATGTATAACCAAGGGTAAGGGATGTATATGTACAATTTTCTTTGGAAATGCATATATATATATATATATATGTATGTGTGTTTGTATGCATGTATGTATATAAATGTATATGTATATATATATATATATATATGCATGCATGTATATAAGTATTTATGTATGTATGTATGTATGTATATTTATATATATGTCCGTATATATATATGTTTGTGTATATATGTATATATATATATATTACTCATGTAGGTACTCTCGATTGCTGTACCGTATTATATCATTAGAATCTCACCCTGTTTTAGTCCCATGACCTAAGTGAACGAAACCTCTCTCTCCCCTTCCCCCTTGGATTTCAAGAATCCATCGGGAATGTTATTTTTGGTTTTTGGAGACATAATAATCATGTTCCTTTTTTGGGCTGTGTACAGATATCTGGCTGGCGGCAGATCATCAGCGCCAAATGAAGTTCTGTACCGATTCCAGTTCCCCGAAACACCTGGAGCACTGATACGATTCTTAAGGAACTTCAACGGAGTTAACAAGGGATGGAATATCAGCATGGTATGCACAAGCACGCAGATTTGCACAGCCACGCACACACTACTGTGTGAACTTATAGTTATATCTATATATACATATATATATATATATATAACCTCACGCACTGTATGATTGTTTTCACTTATACTCCTTATTTGTATATACTGCCACGACCGCCTATCTGAGTGCGGCGTTGATGGTGGTAACTTTCTCATGTACATGTTGTTTCCCAGCATGCAGCTCGAGAAGGAAGTAGACAGTATTCGTCTATATATATATATATATATATATATCGCACTACTGACAACAGTATCGGTCCATGTACGCAGTTCCACTACCGTAACCTGGGTGCGGATGTAGGACACATTCTCGTGGGAATGCAGATACCTAAGGAGCAGCGCGCCAAAGACTTGGACTTATTTCTGGAGGAGGTTGGCTTCAATTACTACGATGAAACCGACAATCCTGTGTACAAGGTGATGAAAACCCCTGGACCATGAACCCCAAACCCTGTTGCAACTTGTATTGTGGTGTTGCATATGATGTTATCATGCTTTGTTTATATGCATATATGTGTTACATTGTATGCAGATCCACACTTTGATTCTACAAACCCTATCCACTATCTCACTTGTGGGGTTGAAAAGTGTGGCTGTCGACACCTCTCTCACACACCTGTTTGTGTCCCTCCCACCGACTGTACAGGAATTCTTCCGCTCGTGATCCATGAATGGGAAGATGGTAGTGAGTGATTTATGTATGGGAAGATACCGGTGAGTGATTAATGAATGAAAGGATACTGGGGAATGTCTTTAACCAAACCATTCACCGTAGAACAGGAAGTTCTGTACTAGTGCACACATGGCCTACTGAGTATGCTTATATACTTGCATGTATCAAGTTGTACCTACTAAAGCTAAGGAGGGAGCCCGATGATACTTATAGCACTCAGGCAAACGTCAGAGCTCTGTAGGGTTGTAGGTTTTTGTGGGTTTTGGGCAGGCCGCAAACCCTCATGTCCACGTAATAAGACCAAGCATGGGGTAGGTAAATATACACGCACGTATGCCAATGGTAGCTGGCCACATCCTTGTGAGCTCGTGAAGAATATTGGAGTATCGCGTCCACATACTGCAATATCATTTATATACATATCTATATGTATATATACATATCTATATGTATATATACATATCTATATGTATATATATATACATATCTATGTATATATATACACATATCTATATGTATATATATATATATGTATACATATACATATACATATCTTCTATGATGCCGCCAGAATGTGAGTGTGTGGTTGGATACACACAACCTCCGAACGTTTGTTTTTTTTTTTTGCAACACCGCGGAAGGTCACAGAGGAAAGCCAATGAGTGCAACCCCCACTTGTAATAAATATATTCGTTAGCGAGGGAGAGAGAGAGATACGTAGAATAGTTTAAGTACCCATACAATAAATGGGGACATCGTTAGGGATAGTTAGATAGAATAGTAAGTATGCATTGAGCAGATAGTCTCAGGAACAGTGGTGAACGGCTTACGTTCTCGGGATGTCCAAGACCCGACGTACAACAGACCTATAAAAAAAGGATCTAATTTTAGAACAAATTTGGAACCCCCCGGCTTAGATTATATCTGTTTGGTTTATTGCATGCATATATGTGGGGCTGTCTCAACCCTTCGATACTACCCTAAAACCCAGGTTTATCATTCGCTATTCAACATTGCTGTATGTGCCAAGTATAAACTCAACTACAGTGATAAATTCAACCGAATTTTTCCTACAAACGCCTAGTAATGTCATCCAAAGGGCAGCATGGTCAGCGTGTAAACATCATAATACTTTGAATATCTTGCAAGAACGTGTGCTTCGTGTAAACATCATAATACTTTGAATATCTTGCACGAATGTGTGCTTCGTGTCCGCTGTAAATATATGCCGGGCGCTTTAGCGACTGTTAGATCAAATTTTGGAACTATCAGCAGAGAAAATGGTCTCTAAAACAAGGAATGCGCTCATTTTTATCCAATCCCATCGCTGCCCAAGCCCAGTAGTCAATATAAATGTTGTGAACCTACATTGTAGTGGACATTTCCTATATGTAAATACAACAGCGCAAGTGTCAATATAAGTATATCCATCATACAATACAAGGTTCTATATATAGCGTATAAATAAAAAATCACGCTTTCGATACTTTTACTAAATATCTATTTAATAAATTGTTAAAAACAGTTAATTCGTATCAGCTGCATGGTGTAATGGTTAGCACGTTCGCCTCTGAATTCAGAGTGTGACAGCGGGAGATTGCGGTTCGATTCCGCGTGCGGCAATTTTTTTTTCACTATTCTTTTTACAATTTTTTAGTAAAATTAGATCGACGCTAAAAGTAAGAGCTTTGAGCGATTGTACGCACTGGCAAACGGGTTGTAGATACTCACAAGTGATATGTACTTATCATACCACAGGTTACTTAATTGCCAACCACCCCTATAAAGGTATTTCGGGGTAAAGTCAACTGAGTGCACTCACCAATATATAATAACTTCCTTAATGGTACAGCAAAAGTGCTGGTGTCGGTGCAGTGTGTAGGATAAAAGCTGTCAATTTGCTAACTGTCAACTTGTTAGTCTTTCATTCGACCCGCGATTCCGATTCCGATTCGAGCGCACCACACATTGGCGAGGCAACGATAAGTGTGTGCTCAGATCTTCATTTTCTTGTCAACGATAAGTGTGCTAACATTTCAAACGGGCTCGCAGTGTACAAATTAGCCATACGGGCGAGCTTAATGTTTGCGGGATTTGCAGTGGCAAGGCTGTACTTCGACTTGACCAAATAGTTCGGAACAAAGAAGACAGTGCGAATAGCAGCGATCGCAAAAATCGCAAGAATTGTGCTTTTTTTTTTCAATTGAAAGCCAGGAATTTTAATTTTACCTTCCAGCCGCTCAATGGTGGGGCCGTTAGAAGAGTTTACTGGTACCAGAAATCGGCAAACGATCAACCCAAATTCTGTCGATTGTTCCAAAAAATAAAAAAGGGATATGCGCAGCATCATGCAATATCAAACGCACCATACGTTGAAGTGAGATGAACGTCTGCGAGATATACAGCGATGAGGCCGAACTGCAACTTGATGAAGTACTTCGGAACAAACCAGATAGTTTGAATAGCAGCGGTTGTGAAAATTGCAAGAATTTTCCTTCTGTTCAGCTGCAAGACCACAATTTTCACCATCCCTTCCAGCCGCCAAGGTGTTAGGTCCGTTGGATGAGTTTACTGGTTCTTTGATGCAAGCGATCATCTCACATTCTGACGTTTGTTTCAAAACAGATATTTACTACATTACGCAACATCAAAAATAACATCCAACAATGGTATTGGGTGCACGGGGTAATAATAGAGTTAGAAAGTCTACAGGACAGTTTGTTGCGCGTTTACATATATGGCCATGAATGTGGTGTATCCCTGTTTTCAAGATTGTATCGGCACTTCGATGGAGGGATGCATAAGCACCGAAGAAAATATCTTATAAGCCAACAAATCGAAAGAGTCTTTACGATAGCGAGTGCACACTGGTCAGCTGTTTACAGAGACGTTTCGAGACCAGTCAGTGTATCTGCGAATTATTGACACAAATTTCAGTTATTTCACCATCTGTAGTCTCCCGAGTGCATGAATCGCTGATAATACAGACGATACTTGTCACAGAGAAGTGCCTCGTTTCAGCAGACCCCGGGATCATGCAGATAATCGTATATGTTTTCATAAAGCTTCTAGTGGGTCGAAGAAGAAAGTGTAGCTAATGGGTAGATTGACAATTGACCATATATGACTACCCTAAAAATAGTAGTAAACGAATTTATAAATTTGTCCCTGAAACATTTTGTATATAACTCCAGTCTCGCTGTATGGTGACAAACCGTACGAGGACGTTTGCTGGTAGAATTTGAACGCACATAACATTTGTACAGGGTAAAGTTTGGGACTAGTTTGTACACCTTTTTCAAAGCAGCAGATGATAACTGAATTATAAGTCCTACGCAATATAAGAAAACACACGACATAACTTCGCAGCGTCGACTTCGGGGGTCGTGCGAGTGAGCCACTTCAGTATCTGTCTATACTGGTTATATTGGTTGTGAGTTTAGGTACAACGATGGTCGTGGATCGGTCGAGGCTGGTCTTTGAAATAAGGAGAATAATCTCGGCGTATTCCTCGTAGGCCCGGACTGTTTTGCCCATGTGAATGTGCATGTTGTCATAGTAGTTCTCAGGTCCGTGTGTACCGTCAGTTCACCCGAGCACATGACAGTCCATACACCGATCAGTATGGTAGTATAGAGCCGTGTATGACCTGTTTGCTACACATGAAGAACGGTGTGAGATAGGCGAGGATGACTGCTGGGGTTAGGGGTCGTCGGAGGCAAGTTGGAGTTTCCTTTCCTTCGGCTACTCTGCGGCGACGAATTTCCTTTTTGAATGTAAGGACGAGGCTTGCTCGTACGTGCGCTACATATACGTCGATGGAAGAGGGTTCCAGACGGCGTCGAGCCAACTAGCAAAAAGGATCCATGACTGGGCGCATGGCGTGTATGACTGTAGTAGGGTGCATGCGATGCTGAACGTTGGCGTTGGAGGTATGTCCTGTTGAGCTGGTGGATGGGTGGGTGGCGAACGTGAATATATCACGTGTGCTATCCATCAGAGTGGCACCCACGATTTCAGGGTGAAAATATTGAGGCTTCCGCAGGTCGGCTTCGAAAGGGATGGACGAGCCTACGTGTGAGTATGTGAGAGAATAGGGCGAGGGAGATTAATGGTTTGGAATAAGTGCAGAACACAACGGCAGCAGAGTTAAATTAACAAGGGGGAGGGGGGGGGGGGTTAGCCCTTGTGTAGGTTAGTATTGTGAAGCTGAGGGCTAGCGAGCCAAAAATAAATCATTTCTCGGTGCTTTTTTTTGTGATTGAGTATAGTACGATCCCAGAGATGGGTATTAGTGTAGGGAGCAGAGTAGTGTGGGCTGCAATTTTCGAGCTGCGTGAGTTCCTCGCCGGGAGATGGTGTCGGCGATATAACTGCGCGAGCCGGCCATGTACGTACAGACGTACGGAGAATTTCAATGTCCGTTAAGTAGCGGAGGAGGTCCAACATTTCAGAAATGATAAAGGAACGAGTTGCATTATCCGCAACGGCGTCTTGGTTGTCACAAAACAATGTGACAATGCGGCCACAAATGGTGTCGTCAAGTAGATCAAACATGTAAATCAACATCATTAGCTCGAGAGCTGTGATTAAGTATAAGGCCTGAGGGACTGTTGGGGCTGGTTGATTGAATTTTTTCTTGGTTGGCCACTTGGTGTGATGTATTTCCCAATTCATGTACAACCACAGGACTGCTGAACTGCTGAAGTTTCTCCAAGGGTGCTGACACCGTCGGTGGCAACAAAGTGATCATGCACGAACGGACGCGAAAGGAGTGCGTGCCGGACCAGTTTCCTGCCAGACAGAAGTCTGGTATGTCGCTGTGTCCATGGTCGCAAAAGTTCTGAGTCTGGCTGCGCAGTCTTCAAGTTTCTACGGAGACATGCTGACCGTGCGAGCTTGTAGATCAAAGTGCACAATGGAGAATGCGCCGCCGACGAATTTGGCTTTGTCTTAATGTCGAAGTTGGCGAGTTGAGCTGTGTAACAAGGAACTCCGTGTAGCATACAAAGCCGTCTACCCAACGAGCAAAGAATAGTTGAGCTTGTTTGAGTGCGCAATCTAAAGCAGCTGCCAGGGTTTCATGGCTAGGCCGAAGGGAAGGTAAAACTCGAAGTAGAAGAGGCCCTGCCATTCAAATAATAGTAGAAAAATGCATAGAAAGTCGGTCTTGTGCACAGGCATGAGCCTGAAGGAGCTGATTAAATCTATGACACTCATGAGAGTGTCGGGTGGGTGAGCGTTAAAACCGTCAATGAAATATCTCAAGCTGGTGTACTTTATATTCACATATTCTATATACGCGCTGTCTAAGTGTTGGCCTTTCTAGGGTAAAAGAGAACGTGAATGCGACAAATTTTATCGGTACCATCGGGGCATACCTTGGTGATGCCACTGAGAGGGGATAAGATGTAGTGTGGTAAATATAGCTGTAACTTAAAGAATACGCCTAAGAG